CCCGGGACGGGTCTCCGTCCGTAGCTCTTTTGACTCCCTTTTTATCTTTTATATTTTGTCCTACCTTCCTTCGAAGACAATGGGCTGCTTTTCTGGGCGCCTGATGTCCTCTGCTAGCGATCAGAAGTTGTTTTGTGAAATTTGCTCAGCGTTCAAATGTTCTTTCGATGAATTTGTAGGGGAGAAAGTGGTCTCTCCGTCCTATTCCTCCGCCATCTTGGCTCCTCCTCCTGTGACAAGTTTTGAACGTACAATAAAACTGAAAGAACTGAAACACGTATGTCCATATACCCACCACCTAAATTCTACCATTAACGCTTTCTGAAATTGCTGTCATTTCTATCCATCTGTCTGTTTTTCTCTCCACCTATCAATCTGTTATTATTAATGCATCTCAAATTAAGTTGGAAATATCTGTATTTTTCACCCTCAAATACTTTAGTATTAATTTTATTCACTATAGTTTAATATTGTTTATAATTTTTAGATAAAATTTATATAAAGAAAATGTACATATCTTCATTGGACTGTTTGATAAGTTTTGACAAAAACCAGCACCTGTATACAGGAAACGTCATCAAGATACAGAACCATGCCCAAACAATTTCCTCCTGCCCCTTTTCTGGTAAACTTCATGACCACCCTCAGGAACCACTGTTCTGATTTTTTTCCCACCATAGATCAGAACAACATATAGAATAAGGGAGTCGTAGGATAGGTGTGTACTTAGTTTCATAAGAAACCACTAGCCTTGTTTCCAAAGTGGTTGTACAATTTTAGACATAACCAATAAGGTATGAATGTTCTGGTTTCTCCATATCCTCACCATGTGTTGTCAGTCTTTTTAATTTTTACTGACTTTTGTGGGATTGTAGTGGTGGTTAATTTTCATTTCCCTGATGACTAATGATATTTTTTTGAATCTCTTCTGCTATTCACATCTTTGCTTGTTTTTAACTGGATTATTTGTCCTTTATTACCAAGTTATAGGAGTTCTTCCCGTTTTCTGGATACCATTTGTTTTTTGGGTGTATGTTTTGCAAATATTTTCTTCCAGTATGCAACTTGCCTACTCATTGTCAAATGGTAAACAGTTTTTAAATGGTAGATCAACCTTCTGATGAGCATAAGTTTTAAATTTTGTTGAAGTCTAATTAGTAATTTTTTCCTTCCATGTTTATTACTTTCTGTGTCCCATCTAAGAAAGCTTTGCCTACTTTCAAGTCATAAAAATGTCCTCCTGTGATATTTCTTTCCTAGAAGCACTACAGTTTTTTTTTTTGGAAGCACTACAGTTTTAACCTTTATGTTTAAGTCCATGATCCATTTCAAATAATTTTTGTGTGTGGTGAGAAGTAGGAGTCAGAGTCCCTTTTTATTCAGTGATGTCCAGGTGTCCCAGCACAATTTATTGAAAAAATTTTTGCTTTTCTCATTGTGTTGGCACGCTTATCAAAAATTAATTGGATGTACAAGTATGAGTCTATTTCCCAATAGAAAGGTGAGAAGCTATTCTGCTTCACAGATAAATTTGTGTATACGAGTAGCACACTGCTTTGCTTATTATTATAGTTTTACATAAGACTTGAAATCAAATAGTGTAGATCCTCCAACTCTTATTTTTCAAGATTGTTTGGGGTAAATCCTTTGAATTTTTATACAGATTTGAGGATCAGGTTGTCAATTTTATCCCCCTCAAATCCTATTGGAATTATGGTTGGGATTACATTGAATATATAGATAAAATTGGAGAGAACTGACATCTTAATAATATTGATTGTTTTAATACATGAACATGAGATGTCATTCCATTTGTATAGGTCTTATTTAACTTTTCTCAGCAGTGTTTTATAGTTTTTAGGGTACAGATCTTATCCATCATTTAAAAAATTTATTTCTAAGCATGCAATTTTTATCCTATTGTAAATAAATTTTGAAAAAACTTTTTTCCAGTTGTTAGCTGCTGTAATGTGATTTGCTTTAGCGATGTGAATGTTTGGAAGGCAACCTTCCTCATCATTTGCATTTTTACATGAAGAAAAGCCTGTTTTTTTTCATCTCGTCAAAGAGATGGAGTGAAGTTAGCCCCAATCTGAGAGCTGGTGAACCAAACATCAGTCACAGTTTGCTTCTTACAAGCTGTGTGAACTTGGCCAAGAATGATTTTCAAATTCTGTCCCCATTTCTGCTGCCACTTAACACAATCAAAATGTAACTACTCATTCATTGCAGTCTTTTCTATGATAGAGACAGAACTTTAAACTCTGGTTCAATAACGCATTTGCAAATCTAGTAGAAGCCTTGAATTTTCTTCCCAGAGAAGTGTGCACGCACACACACGCACACATGCATGCACACATACACACACAATTTTCTGTGCAACTTTAGGATGTGCAGGAAGTCTCAAAGCCTTCTGGGATCTACAGACTGCTAATTATGAAGCCATTCTAGAGTGAGAGCTCTAAGGGCTAACTGCTTTCACGTCTGCATCTTCAGACCCAACAAGTATGGAATGAGGGCTGCCATTCTAAATCCCATGCCTTTATGGTGTTTTCTAGGCAGAGAGGGTCTAGATTTCCACACGCTCAGGTTTTGACTTGCTTTTCTTCCTCCACGGGATACTGTATCCCTCTGAGGGACACAGCAGTGGGGCAGTTTGGTGTTGCTGTTGGTGAGGCCATCCTGCCAGGCAACTGCCCTGGGGGGCCTAGACCCACTCTCCAGGCATTGTCTCATTCCGGAATCTTCCCCAACTGTGTTCAGCCTCCCCACGCCTTCACCTCTGGCTCCATGCAGGAAGTGCCTCCGCAGGGGCAGGTGCTGAAGTCGGCTGTGCGGGGTGACACGGGCAGCGTTTCAGAGCAGCCCTCTCTGGCTAAAGTACATCCTGCTGTCCTCTCTGGTGGTTCCCATAAGCAGCTCTGGCAGTGGAGGTGATGTTGTGTGTGTGCCTCTGTTCACCCAGGTGCCGGGGACATGGGCAGCAAACTCTCTGTGCCAGGCAGTGAGCCCACAGTGCAGGGCCCGAGGACGGAAGGCATTCATGCTGCATACAGGCGAGGCGACATCAGCAGAGCCCAGCACCTGCTCCGAGAAGCTTGTGACGAGAGCACATCCCAGCTGGAAAAGGTAAGGTCTATGCCAGCCCTTCTTGCCAGAACTGGGAACCCAGGTTGGGTGAAGGTTACCACAAAAATTGTTTCCTTGTTATCATTATAATCATAATGGGGATATTTCTTGGGTTCTGAATACCTTGTTTCTCATGTAAACCTCCTGGTGTCAGTCCTTTCGAGTGGACTTCTCAGCTTGTCAGGTAAGAACACTGCGCCATCATTCCCAGGGGCAGGAAGGGGTCACAGAAAGGAAAAGGACAAAACTGACAGTGGAGGGTTTAACCTAATATAGTCTTTTTTTTTTTTTTATTTTTAAAAATTTTTTTAATTTTTTTACTAATATAGTCTTTTATACTTTTTTTCCACTATAAAACAGCACATGTGCAAACTGAAAAATTCAAAAATATATAAAAGTAAGGGGAAAAAGAACCAAAATTAATCATCCAAACAATCCCACTGAGCATTTTTGGTATACTCTTTTCCGAGCTGCTGATCTGAACATTCATCTTTTGTTTTTATTGTTTCTAATATAGACACAGTCTTATTTATGCAGTTTTGCATACTGCTTTCTCTTACATAATATTATATGAACCATTTTCCGTATGACTATAGATTCTTTATGTGCATCACCTTCACTGGATACATGACACTTCATCTGGTGGAGACACTGTCACTTATCTGGCTATTCCTTTTGGTTAGATATTTGGATTGTTTCTAATTTTTTATTACTATAAATAATACTGTACTGAATGTTTTTTGCCTAATTGTTTTCTTATTGTCAGATATTTTCTTTGCTTAGGTAGATTTGCAAGAATTGAGAATGTGGGTAAGAGCATTTTTAAAATTTTGAACATATGCCAAACTTTTTCCAAAAGCTTGTAGAGATCAACCCTCTTACCGGCCTACAGCTTTGGAAGATCATTGCCATGTTCTGGTCCTTGTGGGAAATTCTTATTGGCTGTTAACAGGAGAGCACTTTATTGATGTTATATGTGTAATACTTTGATTAACACAGGTTTAAGGTTTTCATTTAATTAATAGTTGGAAATAGCTCAATTACTAAACCTCCAGCCTGTTCACAAAGTTGTAAGAGAATTTTCGGGGGGAAATGGTCAAGTTCAACGTGCTTGATAATTATTGAGGAGAGAGCATTTTTGGAAAATTCTCCAAGCGAGGCTTTAACAGTATGTGGACCAAGAACTTCCAGATGTCCAAGCTGAATTTAGACAAGGCCAAGGAACCAGAGATCAAATTGCCAACATCCGCTGGATCATAGAAAAGGCAAGAGAATTCCAGAAAAACATCTGCTTTATTGACTATGCCAAAGTCTTTGACTGTGTGGATCACANTACTTTGCCAACAAAGGTCCATCTAGACAAAGCTATGGTTTTTCCAGTAGTCATGTATGGATGCGAGAGTTGGACCATAAAGAAAGCTAAGTGCCAAAGAATTAATGCTTTTGAGCTATGTTGTTGGAGAAGACTCTTGAGAATCCCTTGGACTGCAAGGAGATCAAACCATTCAATTCAAAAGGCAGTAAGTCCTAAATATTCATTGGAAAGACTGATACTGAAGCTGAAGCTCCAATACTTTGGCCATCTGATTCGAAGAATTGACTCATTGGAAAAGACCCTGATGCTGGGAAAGATTAAAGGCAGGAGAGGCGAAGGGGAAGACAGAGGATGAGATGGTTAGATGGCATGACCAACACAATGGACATGAGTTTGAGCAAGCTCCAAGAGTTGGTGATAGACAGGGAAGTCTGACGTGCTGCAGTCCATGAGGTCGCAAAGAGTCGGATGTAACTGAGTGACAGAACTGAACTGAGCATTTTTGATTCCTCCCATTATGGATTCACAGTATATGTGGTCAAAGCCTCTTTTCTTATGGGAGTACCCGAGCAGGTCAGAGTTGCTGGCCCGTCGTTCGTGGCCTGGGGATTTTAAGTGGGGACCCAAGAAACAGCAGTCTGAAGTGTTACCCACAGAGCAGTCGTGCTGTCTGGGACCTTTTCCCAAATGGAACTCCAGACTGCCGTCACAGAACTTCCCATTGAACCTGAACCTCTTGCATCTCCTGCATTGGCAGGCAGTTTCTTTACCACTAGCACCACCTGGGAAGGCGTGTTTAAGTCCAGATATCAGCAAATTCAGTTTCCTGATGTATGTACTATTGCTCTCCTCTGCGGTTTCTTTTTTTCCCTTTTAATGTGTATTGAAAATAGACTAGATAATTCTCTAATAAATATTTGTATTGTTAATTTGTATATAATGAGGATATATATATATATGGATATATATATATAAAACTAAATAATATAATTTGTTAACAAATCTGAACCTGAGACGAATGTGAAAACTTTTGGCAAAACAATGATGCTGTTTCAAAGAAATAGAATATGAGACACTTATAAGGTCAAGTTTTCTAGAAGTAGCATTAATTAAAAAAAATTTAAAAAAATAAAAGGGAAAAAAAACCCTAAACAAAACAGGCAAACTTTTCTTAATTCTTAATTTTTTAAATTATAATAGTATTAGAACACATTTACAGAAGACTTGAAAAATGCAGAACCAAGTTACATATAGTTCTACTATGTATTACAATTTTTTAAGTAGATAAATTAAGATTTTTAGTTGGGATTTCAAAATCAAACCCTCAAAAGTTAATAGAATAACTGGACATAAAAGTAGAAGAATATAGTAGACCCGAAAAGCACTGTGAATCAATTCAACATTATTAAGATTTATACAATTTTCACACAATGCAGGATACAAGTTCTAATCAAGTTGCCATAGACTATAAACCAGGAGACACACAAATGTAATCCAGGGACATTAAAAAAAAAGGAAAAACTTTCATGGTCAAAGGTATTGAAGTCATACAGTCTGTTCTCTTATCACTGCACACTTATGTTAGAAACCAATATCAAAAGATATTTGAAAATAACCTGCATATTTTCAAGTGTAATGTGACAGTTACCAAGAGACTTAGCCATTGAAAACTTCAAGAAGGTTAAAAGACAGAAAACACAGAAGGTGATTGCAGAGAAGAAAGAATTTAAATGAGAAACTAATATCAAAATGAGAAATTAACATCAAGAATACTTTAAAAACTCCATGTATTTGGAAAATAAATGTCCACTTTTAGATGATGGGTGTATCTAAGAAACCATAACAAAGAAAATTAGAAAATATTTGTAACAGATTAAAAATGGAAGGAGAATTTTTCAGAACTTGTTGCATGCAGCTGGAACAGCTCAATGCAACTAAATACAATGTGGAATCTGGAAAACACCTAATGAACAGTGGAGGGTCTCCTGTGGAGGTGTGGGTTGCATTGGCAGCAGCGGTTCTGGGAGGTGCCCCTTGGCAAGAGAGCCCTCTTGGAAGTGGTTATTAACCCTGCCACAGAGCCTGTAGACTCCAGGGCTGAGTCACCTCAGGCCAAATAGCTAATAGGGAGGGAGCCCCACCCATCAGCAGATTACAGTGTTACTGAGCGTGACCCTGCCCACCAGGAGAAGACCCAGTTTTTTCCCATACCAGCCCCTCCCAACAGGATTATCTCCCAGATGAAAGAACAAGATAAAACCCCAGAAAAACAACTAAATGAAGTAGACATAGGCAACATTCCAGAAAAAGAATTCAAAATAATAATAGCGCAGATGATTTCAGTTCAGTCGTGTACGACTCTTTGCGACCCATGGACTTCAGCATGCCAGGCATCCCTGTTCATCACCAACTCCTGGAGCTTGCTCAAACNTTCCTGGAACTCTCTTGCTTTTTCAATGATCCAACAGATGTTGGCAATTTGATCCAGTTGATTTAGGATCTTGGAAAAAGAATGGAGAAGATGCAAGAAATGTTTAACAAAGACCTGAAGAACTAAAGAACAAACAAACAGAGATGAACAATACACTAGAAGGAATCAACAGCAGAATCACAGGTAGAATGGATAAGCAACCTGGAAGAGAGAGTGGTGGAAATTACTGCTGTAAAACAAAATATAGAAAAAAGAATGAAAAAAAATGAAGACAGCCTAAGAATGTCCTAAAAATACATTAAAGGTACCAACATTCGCTTTATAGGGGTCCCAGAAGGAGAAGAGAGAGAAAGGACCCGAGAATGTATTTGAAGAGGTAAGAGCTGAAAAGTTCCCTAACATGGGAAAAGAAATAGTCAACCAAGTCCAGGAAGCACAGAGTTCCAGGCAGGATAAAACCAAGGAGGAACACACTGAGACACATAGTAATCAAACTTACAAAAATTAAAGACAAAGATAAAATATTAAAAGCAACAAGGGACAAATAACAAATACAAGGGAATTCTCATCAGGTTATCAGCTAATTTCTCAACAGAAACTCTGCAAGCCAGAAATAAATGGCACAATACATTTAAAGTGATGAAAGGGAAGAATCTACAACCAGGAATACTCTATCCAGCAACACCTCATTCAGATTTGACGTCAAAATCAGGTTGTACAGACAAACAAAAGCTAAGAGAATTCAGCACCACCTAACCAGCTTTACAGTAAATGCTAAAGGAACTTCTCTAGGCAGGAAACACAAAATAAGGAAAATACCTACAAAGAATAAACCCAAAGCAATTAAGAAAATGGTAATAGGATCATACATATCAAACTTAACTTAAATGTAAATAGATTAAATGCACCAACCAAAGGACATGGACTGGCTGGGTGAATGAAAACATGTTCGTATATGTATTTCCACGTACCACATCACTCTGCTAATGCCTCAAATCGTAATTATTTTATACTGTTAGGTTAATCATGTTTCCATTATGGCTTGCAATTATAATTGTCTTTTATTTTTTGTCTGACTATTAATTGTGAAAACTGATGAACATCTCTTGCTATTGTGATTATATAACTATTAATAGTATTCTAATACAATTCTTAAAATATAAGGAAATATCATGTTGTAAGAAAATAGGAAATTAACCTGTGATATAATATTATTAACTAAAGCACAGATAATAGTCAAACTTCACAAAACAGGTAAACTTTAATAGTCTGTTTTATTTAACTAGAATATATTAAAGATTATCATTTCAACATATAATCAATATAAAAATTATTGACAAGATTGTTGTTTTTTCAGTCACTAAGTCGTGTCTGACTCTTTGCAACCCCATGGACGGCAGCACACCAGGCTTCCATGTCCTTCACTATCTCTCAGAGTTTGCTCAAACTCATATCTCTTGGGTTGGTGATACTGTCTAAGTTATCTAACCATCTCATCCTCTGCTGCCTCCTTCTCCTTTTGCCTTCAATCTTTCTGGCATCAGGATCTTTTGCAATGAGTTGGCTCTTTGCATCAGGTGTCCAAAGTATTGCAGCTTCAGCTACATCATCAGTCCTTCCAGTGATTATTCAGGACTGATTTCCTTTAGGATTGACTAGTTTGATCTCTTTGCAGTCCAAGGCACTCTCAAGAGTCTTCTTCAGCTCCACAAGTTAAAAGCATCAATTCTTCAGTGCTCAGCCTTCTTTATGGTCCAACTCTCACATCCATACATGACAACTGGAAAAACCATAGCTTTGACTATATGGACCTTTGTCAGTAAAATATGTCTCTGCTTTTTAATACACTGTCTAGGTTTGTCATAGCTTTCCTTCCGAGGGACAATTGTGTTTTAATTTTCTTTGCTGTAGTTACTATCCACTGTGATTTTAGAGCCCCAGAAAATATTGACAAGATAGTTTACCGTTTTTGTAGTAAGTCTTTGAAATCACCTGAAAAAGAATCTGATGCTGGGAAAGACTGAAGGCAGGAGGAGAAGGGGACCACAGAGGAAGAGATGGTTGGATTGCATCACCGACTTGATGGACATGAGTTTGAGCAAGTTCTGGGAGCTGGTGATGGACAGGGAAGCCTGGCATGCTGCTTAGGGTCGCAAAGAGTCAGACACGACTGAGCGACTGAAATCACATATGATTTTACGTTTTCAGCACATCTCACTTTGCATGAGCCATATTTCAAGGCTTAACAGTCACATGTGACTGGTCCTGCCATCCTGGGCAGCCTAGTCCCAGACTTGCCTGTGGCCTTGGTGAACCTTTAGAGTCGATTCTCTTGGCAGTTCCCAGCAGCACTCTTCTTGCTGACATCTTGTCCCTGTTCTGTTTTGACCAGGGCCAGCTCCTGAGCATCTCTGCAGCCTATGGTGACCTGGAGACCGTCCGGTATCTTCTCACTGAGAGGCTGGTGGAGCTACCAACAGAGCCCACCGATGACAACCCCGCCGTGGTGGCAGCACAGTTTGGGCACGCTGATGTTGTTCAGGAGCTACTCGAGTCTTTGCCAGGTAAAGAGTCTTTGCTTCCCTGGGGGCTCAGATGGTAAAGAATCCGCCTGCAATGCAGGAGACTCGGGTTCAACCCCTTGGGTGGGAAGATCCCCTGGAGAAGGAAATGGCTACCCACTCCGGTACTCTTGCCTGGAAAATCCCATGGACAGAGGAGCCTGGCGGGCTACAGTCCATGGGGTCTCAAAGAGTCAGACACGACTGAGCAACTTCACTTACTTTGCCCGGTAAGTCCCAGGGTGTGAGTTCTTCACCCCCACTCAGGGACCCTCCTTTTGAAAAAATACTTATTTCCTTATTTGTTTGGCTTCATTGAGTCTTGGTTATGGCACGAAGGATCCCCGTCGCTGCACACAGGCTTCTATCCTGTTGTGGCGCATCAGCTCAGCTGCCCCACAGCATGTGGGGTCTTAGTTCCTCAACCAGGGATTGAACCAGCATCCTCTGCATTGGAAGGCGGATTCTTAACCACTGGACCACCAGGGAAGTTCCTCAGGGACCCTCTTTTCCTAGGAACCAGACAGGCATTTGGAGGGGGGTGGCTGCACTCCAAGTTGTTTATGTCTTCACACTGTTTAGCAGTCCAGATCCAGAAATCTGGGGGTATTCTTTAAAGCAGTTTTAGGTTTAAAGAAAAATTGCTGAGCAAGTACCAAGAATTCTCATATACCACCCTCCACAGTTTCCCTATTATTGATGTTTTGTATGAGAATGGTACAGTTGTTAAAATTGATGAACAAACCAATATTGATATGTTATTACTAATGGGAGCTCATAGTTTGCACCAGGGTTGTATATTCTATGACTGTTAACAAATGTGTAATGACATATATGTACCATTACTGTATCATGCAGAGTAATTTCACTGCCCTCCTATTCTACCTGTTCATCTTTTTCTCAGCTCCTGGCAACCACTGATCTCTTTACTGTCTTCATAGTTTTGCCTTTTCCAGAATGACATATAGTTGGATTCGTATGGTATGTAGCCTTTTCGGATAGAGTGCTTTCACTTAGCAGTATGCATTCAAGTTTCCTCCATGTCTTTTCATGACTTGAGAGGTCACACACACACACACATATATTTTATCACTGAATAATATTACATTGTCTGGATGTTCCTTACTATGTTGCTTTCTTAATAACAAGTAATTTTTTCTCTGGTAGACTCAGGCATCCTGGTCTCCTTAGATTTCCTACAATGGCCTTGGATCCATTACAGTTATTGCTACAGCTATAGGCTGAGACATTGTCTTAGCAGTGGTTGTTGGGAGTTAGGATTTTGCAAGGGAATCGGGCCAGCTTCATGGGTATGTGACAATGCAGTCACACAGGGCCCCGTACTTAGAAGGGCCCCACACTTGGTTTGTGAGCTTGCCTGCCAAGTTGCTTCAGTTGTGTCCAACTCTTTGCAGTCCTGTGGACTGTAGTCTGCCAGGCTCCTCTGTCCGTGGGATTCTCCAGGCAAGAATACTGGAGTGGGTTGCCATGCCCTCCTCCAGTGGATCTTCCCAACCCAGGGATGAAACCCATGTCTCTAAGGTCTCCTGCATTGGCAGACATATTCTTTACCACTAGCACCACCTGGGAATTACATGGGAATTACATGTAGCGCCCACTACACTCTGCAATTACCCTCTTGAAATTTGTAATAATTTTTAAACAAGGGACCCCATTTTAAGTTTTACGTTGGACCCCACAAATTATGAAATGGCAGCCCACTCCAGAATCCTTGCCTGAAAAATCCCATGGACAGAGGAGCCTGACGGGCTTCAGGTCACAGGGTTGCAACAGGTCAGACACAACTGAGCAACTAACACACACACACAAACACCACAAATAATGCACTAGTACTGTTAAGGGCTCCCCTGATAGCTCGTTTGGTAGAGAATCTGCCTACAATGCAGGAGACCCCAGTTTGATTTCTGAGTCGGGAAGATCCACTGGAGAAGGGATAGGCTACCCACTCCAGTATTCTTGGGCTTCCCTTGTAGCTCGGCTGGTAAAGAATCTGCCTGCAATGAAGGAGACCTGGGTTTGATCCCTGGGTTGGGAAGATCCCCTGGAGAAGGGAAAGGCTACCCAGTCCAGTATTCTGGCCTGGAGAATTCCATGGGCTGTGTAGCCCATGGGGTTGCAAAGAGTCAGACACAACTGAATGACTTCCACTTTTCACTTTTTTTTTTCACTGTTAAGGGAGTGTCTGACTGTGTCCTTTGAGGTAGATTTGTGCTCAGATTTGGTTCCAAGCTGGCATGCCTCTCATATGCCTGGAGGAAGAATGAGTTTATGAACAGAAATCAGGGCAGTGTTAGGGCCCATAGACACAGATTGGGTCAAGCAACGTATAGGAAGGCAGAGAGGAGAGGAGCCCCTGAGGTGCCAGTGGCTGATTCTTTCTCAGGAATCCCCAAGAATAGCTCTGTTCTTGCCCTAAAGAATCTATGCCAGCTGACTCACTCAATGGACAGCTTACATTTATTGATCATTTGCCAAGTACTGGACACACTGCAGAACCTGAAAGAAACAGAGGCTTTTTTAAAAAGGTGGTCCCAGCCCTTTAGTAGCTCCTGGTCCAGCAGAGGAAATTGAGGCAGAAAAGACTAACTGTGTGCTGTAACCACGCAGAGGTTGAAATGTCTACACAGTCGTTTGCGACCACACATCAGGGAATGGTCTTGTCTGTGTGCAGGCTGGGGTCTTCAGAAGGAGTCAACATCTCACCTGGGCTTTGCAGACTGAGTAGGAGTTTACTTGGTGGACAAACAAGGGAAGAGCCTGGTTTGCCTGCTTCTGCAGAGCAGAAAGCTTGGCTCGACCTGAGTATGTTGGAGCTGAGCATGGTTTTCAGCGGCTCCCGGGGTGTCCTGTCTTTAATTCAGCTCGGGACAGAGCTAGTGAAACTGAAAGAGTTCAGGGCATTTGCTGAGCCCTGTGGGGAGTGCAGAGATGGGCAGAACAGTGTCTGTCCTCTGGGAATTCCCAACCTGTAGGGAGGGTGGCCCTTGTCAGGAGTAAGGTAAGAGGCAGCTGGAGGACAAGGGCGGGTCCAAGTAGAGGAGGGACAAGAGGTCCATGGTGGGTGGGTACATCACTGTGTAATTATGAACATCATTCAAAGGACATCATTATGTAATTCCTAGTCTTGCAGCTCAGCAGGGCTGACAAGAAAGAGGAGGTGGAAAAATGGATACCAAAATGGGGCTTTTTGAGCTGGATTTGGGCCTCAAAGAATACACACAGGGGTTTGTATGGTTAAAATAGTACCCTTTGGTTTTCGGTAAAGCAGAACTTAAGGCTTGACTTCGCCATTTACCAACTGTCGGACCTTTAGCAAGTTCCCAACTGTCCCTGAGCTTTGGTTTCCTCATATTAAAATGATGACTGTGAAATACAGGGCCTGCCTCCTGAGACTGACACACTCCATCCTCAGCGGGAGTTAGCAGCATGACAACCACACTTCTCACAGCTGGATATCTGGTCCTAACTGAGTTAGGGGTAATTTGTTTTCTGCTCATGTACCTCCTCCTTTGAATTGTTTGTTTTAGTCATCAATTGAGGGCAAAGAAGGGACATTTATTTAGCACCTGCTGCACCCCAGACATGATGCCAGATACCTTGTGTATTGGGTTTTAATTCTTGCCTTCTCTACCTCACCCCCATTTCCTGTCAATTTCCTATGACACAGAGGGGTACTCTCTTCAGGCTCCAGAGCACTTTGGTTCCGGAGAACTCTCCACCTCTGCAAATGAGTGTTATGATGCAGTTGGGAAGTGTCCACGTGGGGGATGAGATCATTTTTCCATGGCAGCTAGATCCAAAAGACCTTGCATTACTTTGAACTTGAAGATACTGTGACATTTCAGCCCATGCTGTCCCTGTTCATTCAGTGTGTTATTTCATCCTGGAATTAAGTAGGCAGTTCTTTTAGGGAGCAGTTCTCTTAAGTTTTAGGCTGATCTGTTTCTTCATCAGAGTATTTTTAAACTTATGAAAGTGGTATATGTATATTACAGACAATTTGGGAAAGCAGAAAGGGTTATTACTCTAAGAACATAATAACATACCACAATGAGTTATATCAGGCACTTGACAGATGTTATGACAGTTTACTAAGTCAAGTATTTGATATACACAATGTCATGTAATCCTCACATTAAACTTGGAAGGCAGGGTGTTCCTTTTCCCATTTTACTTATGGGTAAACTGAGCCACAGAGAGGATAAGAAATTTGCCCCAGATGACACATTTTAATATTTTAATTATTTAATATTTTAATCCTAAGTCACCTGCCTCCAAAACCTGTATCCCTGTGTATGATGCTGCTCCAGGGATGCGGTCAGGGCTGGGGATGATGCAGAGAGTAAGGGCATCTCACCATCCCACCACCCAGAGAGAATTCTGCAGCACTGAGGGTAGGTGGTTCTTCCTAGTCTTATTTCCACACATACATTTTTCATCGCAATTTCACTGCATGTGCTGTTCTGAATGCTACTTTTCCCCAGCCGGTGTTGTTTGATGGGCAGGCGGGTTTATAGTGATGTGGGAAAATATCATATGCAGTTCAGAGGGGCTGTTCCTTAGACACTGTCAACTGGACATAACGACTTTCAGCTGGAAACAGGGTCGTGGCTGGAGGGGGCCTCAGAGCTGTGCCTTCAGCCGCCCTCTCTCTGTCCTCTCATCCGTGCAGGTCCCTGCAGCCCCCAGCGGCTCTTGAACTGGATGCTGGCCTTGGCGTGCCAGCAGGGGCACCTGGCAGTAGTGAAGCTCCTGGTCCTGCGCCACGGGGCCGACCCCGAGAGCCACGCAGTCAGGAAGAACGAGTTCCCTGTCATCGTGCGCCTGCCGCTATACGCAGCCATCAAGTCAGGTGGGTGCCGGTCAGGCCGCCCGTGACAGCCTTTGTCCTGTAGAGACACGGGCCCGCCCTTCATGCTCGCCTTCAGCTCTCCAGGGCCTGTGTGGGGTTTCCCAGCTCTGTTCTTGGCTTCTTCTTCAAAAGATCTGCGTCCTTCTTCCTCCCCACGACTCCCTCCTGCGAGGGGGTTTCAGTGCCAGGGACCAGCCATCGCAAACACGACTTCTCGGAGGCGCTGCAGAGGGCAGAGCTCCACTGAAGTGCTCTCACTGGCAGGAACCTGTGGAGTCAGGGGAGGCAACAGAGACGTTCAGCAGCGCCATGCCCTTTTCATTTTCATTTCACATGCATGTCTGGCCTTTTGGACCGCCGTGACACACCCTGCGTCCCAAATGCCCTGAGCGCTCTGCTTTCTGTCCTGTAGGGAATGAAGATATTGCCATATTCCTGATTCGGCATGGAGCCTTTTTCTGCTCCTACATTTTACTGGACAGTCCTGACCCCAGCAAGCATCTCCTCAGGAAGTATTTTGTTGAAGCAAGTGCTTTGCCCAGCAGTTGTCCGGGAAAAATGGTGAGTAGTCTTTGTCTGTGGATGGATGGATGAGGAAGAGGTGGATTATTTTTCAACCATGAGAAAGAAGGACATCGTTCCATTTGTAACAACGTGGATGGATTTTGAGGACATTATGCTAGGTGAAAGAAGTCAGACAGAGAAAGATAAGTACGGTATGTTTTTACTTATAGGTGGAAACTAAAAAAGCCAAACCATGGAAACAGTAGATGGTTTGCCAAGGCCTGAGGGGTGGGGCAAATAGCTGGAATGTTGGTCACTTCAGCCATATGATAAATAAGCCCGGGAGATCTAATGTGTAGCACTGTCATTACAGCTAATAACACTGTATTATATACATGAAAGTTTCTAAGAGAATAAATCTCAAATGTTCTCACCACAAAAAAGAAATAGTAATTAGGTGGCATGGTACAGGTGTTAGCTAAGGTTACAGTAGTAATCATTTTACAATATATAAATGTATTATATCAGCAGGTCATAACTTACACAATGTCATATATCAATTATAGCTCAATAAAACTGGGAAAAAACACATATGGGAATTAGCTCTAGTTAGTTTACCATTTTAATAACAAAAATAGGATTGCATTATTTACATTATCTTCAATTTGGCTTTTTAAATTGAGCACTCTGTCACTGACACCCCCTCGATCAGTCAGTGTAGCTGTATCTCATTCTTTTTGATATGTGCCTCAAATCTAGAGTGAATGTAGCTTAGTTGACTCAGCCCTTTTCCTGGTGGTGGACATTTGGATCGTTTCTGGGTTTTGCCCTTGTGATATAGCCTGATTTCTAGGGTATTTCTTATGCAGATCAAAGTCCTGAAAGTGGACTGCTTTGGAACCACTTCCGCAAATGCTGTGGCAACTCACAGTCTCGCCAGCGCGACATGGGGATTTCTATTCCCCACATGCTGGCCAGCACTGGATGTCCAGGGGCATTTTAATTTTCATCACTCTGATGGGTTAAAATGGAATCTTCTTGTTTTAATGTCCTCATTTCTTTTCTTAATAATGTTGAGCATCTTTGCATATCCTCATAAATTATTTGTGTCTCCCCTTATGTGAGTTGCCTGTTACAGTTTGTTGATTATTTTTCTCAAGGATTACTCACCTTTTCCTTCTAATTTTGAAGAGTCTTATTGTATATTAGCGATTTTAAGCCTTTTTTGTTTATCATAGATGTTACCAATATTTTTCCCAATCCATTATTTGTCTTTTGCCTGTTATCTTTTGAGATAACAAAGATGAGTGAATATATAATCAAATATGTCTGTCTTTTCATTTATGGCAGTTAGGTTATATAAGAAAGTCATTTTCCCCTCAATTTTATGTAAATATTCTCCTAGAATCTTTTATACTATTTTGACTCTTTTACTTTTTACATTTTAAGCCTTAGTTTTCCTATTATTTCTTTGTGTATGTGGTTTCAGGGAGCGAATCTTAACTTTCCTCTCTTCCAGGTGGATGATCAAATATTCCAGCACAATTTTTAAAGTAAACTTTGATTTTCTTTCTGGATTAAAATGTCACCATTGCCATTTCTTCCAATATATACTTATATACATTTTGGGATTCTCTGCACTGGTCCACTAGCCTTTTAATCTATTTCTGTTCAAATGCCATGCTGTTTTGATTACAGGCATTTTATTTAAACCTTACGACTGGTTAAGGCAAGTTTTCTACTCCTTATTTGCTTTTTTCAAAAATATCTTAACTGTTATCAGACATCTGTTTTTTCCATTTTGTGCATTTCCCATGGTAACTTTCATGGTGATTTGTGCTGCATTAAGGTTTTTTAATGGGATTTTATAGTTTTATTGATAAAGGTTTCCTGAACGTATTTTGTTTATTTATTATTGTTTTTGCCATTGTTTGAATGGAATGTATATCATTCTTTCCCATCTCCGACTTGCTGATATGAAGGAAAGCTCTTCTGTTTATTTATTTGTTTTACCCAATCCCCTTACCAACTTCTCTTATTAATTCTAATAGTTTTCAGAGAAGTTCCTCAAAACTTTTAGGTATATATCAAGTTATCTGCAAATTCAAAGCAGGTTTGTCTTGTCTTTTCTAATATTTATCTAACTTTATTTCGTGGCTTATTGTGTATGAGCAGAAATGTCAAAAGTTGAATCATCTGAAAAGAGCAGATGTATCTCTCTTGTTCCTGATTTTAAAGGTCCTGGCATCAGCAGTTTATGGGAATTTTCTGTACATTTTTGGTAAATAGACTATTGCTGTATTTAGGTAGTTTCCATGTATTCCTCTTTGCTTAGGGTTTTTATTAAGAAAAGTTGCTGAATTTTATTGGATCTATATTAGCAGTTGTGGATATACTCACATAGTTTTTCTACTTTAATTTGCTGTTCTAATGCATAATAGTAGGTGTTGACCTAATATTGAAATCTTGTAATAAATGTTAATTGGTGTTATTATGGATGGATTTGATCTATTGATATTTTATTTACAATGTTTGCTTCTATATTTATAGGTAATTGATCTATACTTTTCTATTTCTATTGTCTTTGAGATTTTGGTATAAAACAATGTTAGCCTTACAAAATGACTTGGGGAACTTCCCATTTTATTACAGCCTAGAGAAGTTTCATAGGAATCATTTATTACTAATGGTTGATTAGATAAAGCAGGTCTTTGTTTTCAGACATCTTTTGAAATCATTGGTCAGTTCAGGTTCTCTGCTTTTGCTTACATGCAGTTTAAGATGTTCTATTTTGGTAGAAAATCATCTATTTCCTTTAGATTTTTGAATTTGCCATCACGACATGTTACATTTACCTTTTTTGGTAATTATTTTCTCCTATGTCTGTAGTTATATTTCCATTCATGGTATTGATTTATGATGTTGAACAGTTTTACTTTTTCTCTTTTAAATTTTGTCAGACTAGTCAGGGTTTTATATATTCTAGAGGTCCTCAAGGAACCACTAGATTTTATTTATTTTTCATGATTTATTTTGTTTGTTCCTTCATTCACTTTGGCTTTTCTCTGTACTGAAACCGTCTTGACATCGTCTCTGAATATTTGGTTGATGGGGTTGTGGTCAAGCACGGCTCCGGTAGGAGCTTCCTGGCTCTGCTCTAATCTGGGCTCCAGGACCTCCATCTGGTTCCTTACATCTCTGGGCCTTGGTTTCCTCATCTACTGATCTTTATCAGTTCTTCATACAGTTATGAACGTTTTCGGTTCATACTCCTGGTTTATGGCTTTATAACCCATTTGGACCTATTCATTATGTCAGATATCTGCCTTAACCCGTCAGAGCTTCTCTCCTTAAGACTGGGTTTGTTGGCTCTGCACATGGCCACACTTCTCTTTTTTCTTTTGCATCCACCTTTATAAGCTTTCCCAGCCTTTATATCCAGTTTTTTCTTTGTCTTAGGTGTATTTCTTATAAACAGCATTGTGTTTTCTTCACTTTAAATTACAATAATATTTTATTTTGCATAGTCACAGTATTTGACACTTCAAAAAAAGACATACCACTGATAAATTAAAAAGTAGATATACTTGTTAAAGTTACAGCAGACATAATGTTTAGCTGAGAATCATTTCAATAGCATAAGGCTCTAAAGGTGCCAGATAAACCAATACTTGTTTGGAATAAGATATGCAACTTTCTTAATGACAGGCTTACAGAAGAAGTCCTTGTTCCATGTGGTCAAGGTTACAGTCATAAAACCTAAAGTTTTAGCACAATCCTGCTTCAGACTGAATTTTAAGTAGTTATGATAGTTTACACAATATGTGATGGACTGCCTTCTGCAAAAAATTACAACTTGAAGACTTCTTTCAGGCATTACCAGTATCCAATATGTGTACATTCTAAATAATTCTGAAAAGAGCAAAATTAATAGGTTCTGACATTCACATCTGACATCTCAAGTTTTATGACTGGCAAGTCTTAATGCTCCTGGACTTTGGGGTTTACAAGGTAGCAATATCTTAAATTTGTTTAAGTAGGATGTGGGGAAAATTAAGATCAAATGGGCATACATTTCTTGACTATATAGTGCCATTAGCCCCCAATTAACTCTGTAGAGATTGGTTAAGCATCAAAAGCTAAAGCAATAGTTTTTTATGTTAAAATGTAAATACCAGTTACTCCATACTAGTAACACTTTAAAGTCACTAAACTAAGTATTTCCCTTGTAGAGATAACACACAGAAATTAACTGACAGAAACAAATTATGAAAAATGCTAATTACCTAAATGGATCCATGTCCACCCTTTGTGTCTATTTCATACATTCTCCCCACCCACCCCACTCCAGAAAACATTCAGATTATTACATCCCAAAGTAATCTATTCCTGAATTACTTTTCAAGAGACAAACCACCCTACAGTGTATAAGCTACTTAAGTCTGCACATCCTAGGATGCTGCACTTCCATTGTCCTGGCTCTATAATTTGGAAATCTACTCAGGTTTAGTCTCCTTTTAGAACCTTTACAAATAAACATAATTAGAATTTGTGATACTTAAATTCAAAGACAGCACAGATTATGTGACACCTCCTTTTTGGGGGATTAAATGAAAACCACAGGATTCTGTGCGGCTAAAAACTAAATCTGAGTTACTCGTGTCTGGCGTTGTGTAAATATATTTTTAAGTTCATTTTGTTGGACTTCCTTAACTACTTCAGGTTCTGCAGGGCTCTTCTGAACATTTGCCACTGCAGACTTTATCCCCTGGGTTAATCCAGCTTGGGAATGTTAGTAACCTGTTCTGTGAAACTTCAAACCTTTGCAAAGGGAGAGACTGCTCGATTGCTACAGTTCTCTGAAGGAGAAAGAGTTACATGAAGCCCTGTCTCAAGTTCAAGCATGCTGGATTTGGAGCTGGTGGTCTTTTGAGATACACCTGACTGCCCTAGTTCAACTGACACAAACTGTGGCCCTATTGCAGAAAAAGACACATCTAATTGAGGTGGTGGAGAAGGTATCTGTTTCCATTGATTTGATTAAATTTCTTCATGAG